TTTGATGCCAAATTCAATATATTTTCGAAACAATTTGATGGCCTCCGGCCTATACCAATTATATCCTATTTTTATCCAGTGCAGAGGGATTATGTTTCTCAAAACATAATTTGATAAAGCTTCAAATAGGCTCATCTGAAACAGCGTAAAATTCTGCGCAAAACTGTATACTAACTAACTAAAAATAATCAACACGAGTAAAAATTTCTTAGCAAATACTATGTTTTCACCCACATTTTTGGGGTGCCATTGACTTTCATGCAGCTCAGTCACTTACGAATTCATCCTACGAGGGAGTTTCTTCTTCATGGTCAGATGTAGCTTTCGACGGGCTACACGATGGTGTGCTTTTTGTCTTGAAATTTTATTGGCCAAAAAACTTCATACGGACAATACTTCCTAAAACAGTGATTATTTCAAGTCCATGATATCTTTACGCTTCCAAAGTGCTTAAGAAATGGCTTTACGATGAACTTTCATGTTCAGGATTAGATGTAGTTTTTCGCGGGCTACAATTTGGTATAGTTTTCATATAGAGATTTCGTTGGCGAAAATATTTTCTAGGGTCAATATCGCCCCTACTTGCGGTTTTTTCGATTTCAGACTTGAAAGCCATTTCTAAAGTGCTCCACAAACCACTTTACGATGGGTATTCGAATTAAGAGTTCTTTGCGATTTTTTGGGGCTTCAACGCTGTCATAGTCTTCGTTCCCGCATTTCATTGAAAATATTTTGCAAAAGGAAGAGCTGCCGAGTATTTTAATTAGATGCGTTCTCATTCGCGACAGAAAGTTAATGTTTATTGTATGGGTGAAAAGATTAATTATAGGATTTTGCGCAAATCATTCGAAGTTGGTCGGTTTGTTCAAGTGAAATTGATAAGAACTTGGTCAAGGTTTGGAACTCTTGCAAATTTCGTAGTCCATGGCATAGCACATAATCCTGAACCAGTCTGAATCATATATCCCGAGTTCAAAGAACGACATGATTTACGTGTAATTTGATACTACGAATGCAGTATCTCTATCCCGAGAGGGTGGAATGAATCCCAAACAGATTTTGGATTTGCGACAAATCTTTGAGGCTTGGTTTTGCTGTTGGATTTTGTCTCGATTGAGGACTTCGGATTGTGAGCATCGTTTGGAATTAGCACTTAGGATTCATCTGTTGTTGAAAATTTTGACTTAACTTTGGAGTTGGGTTTGGATTGGGATCTTAGACTGAAATGACCCCAACTTTGGACTTATGTTACAACGAAACACAATCCGAATGTAACAGTCAAATTAAAAGCCCAGATCTACAACCAAATCTTAAATACCGCATCCAAATCCAAACTGTTTCAAATCCAATTTGGAAGTCTTCGCATTGTTTTCTTGCTTCTGATAGTTATCTTACACCATGTCTTCAGATTTGGGTTATTTAAAACTAAACCCAAATTCAAATCGAAGTACCAATTCAAGGAGAAAGAAAGCCCAAATTTTTTCACGAAAATTGGAAGGTCTCGCTTTTGTTGTACCGTTATCTTCCATCCTCACACCACATATTATCCGAATCATAGGTAGTATTTGCTCTTGCCATGCTCTCGCCAATAAACTGTGGGCAGATCTGTACTGGGTATAACCGTCCTGTAAGCGCATCAAACACTTAGCTGAAAAGACCATCAACAGTGGCTTCTGAGTCCCTTTGCACGCTGGTTCGAAGCTCGAAATTGAAAAAACGGCATTCCAGGCGGTATTGCCTTTAGAAAACTTTTGGCCAATGAAATTTCCGTATGAAAACTGTACTAAATGGTAGCCCGTAAAAACCTGCATCGAGTCCATAAGCGAAAAGTAGGTCGTAAAGTGGTTTGTAGAGTACTTTAGAAGTGGCTTTCAAGTCTGAAATCGAAAAAACCGCAAGTAGGGGCGATATTGACCCTAGAAAATATTTTCGCCAACGAAATCTCGATATGAAAACTATACCAAATTGTAGCCCGCGAAAAACTACATCTAACCCTCTACATGAAAGTTCATCATAAAGCCATGTCTTAAGCACTTTCGAAGCGTAAAGATATCATGGACTTGAAATAATCACTGTTTTAGGAAGTATTGTCCGTATGAAATTTCTTGGCCAATGAAATTTCGAGATAAAAAGCACACCATCGTGTAGCCCGTC